ACAAAGTCTTTGTAAATAGGGAGGGATGGAGGGGTGGAAGGGAGGGCAGGGAATGGGGAAAAAATAAGAACCAAGAGAGATTATTTAAAGCTGCAGATTTCCAATGAGTAATGTCATTGTATACCTAAAATGTACCAATAAAATTAATTTTAAAAAATAAATTTTTAAAAGCTGGAAGAAAAAATGCAAATTGGGGGACATATGTGACATGGTATTTTAACCTTTCATTTGTAAGAATGTTTCCTTTGTGGTAAACCATGTAATTAGTGTGAATTATACTTCTCTGCCATAAAGTACCACCCCAAGTGGTAAGGTGCCGTGTCTGTCATCACACAGCATTCTCTGCCCAGAGGAGGCCTGAGTTATCTCTCCACCCCTCTCAGTGATTAACTCTCAGGGATCTAGTATCCTCAGCAACGCTTAGAACTGCTTACTAGTTCTAGTTTTCAGCTGATTTTACATTTCAAGGTAAGTTGTCTGCATGGTTTGTTATTCTACACGTGGACCTGTCCGAAACTCGGTTTCCCATTGAGTATTGACTGACATGTCCAGGTACCACAGAGGTGGTGGAGTTGGCAGCAGGTGTTAGATGACCTCGGTAGTGGACCAGCCTTCAGTGGCATATTTCTACTTCTCAGACCCGACTTGGAGAACACTGGGGGAGTATATTAGGCTAGATTATTTGAGAAGTTTCAGTACATGTCAAACGGACACTTACTATGTTTTTGAAATACAATTCTTTAAAAAGGAGGCCCACGTTTTCTGGTGAGCGAGGTGGAAGTAAAGCTGTCATGGGCAGTGGCTCTGAGCACCTTCAAAGTCACTGGGCCATACTTAGAATACCAAGGTCCTTCTGGTGATGGTCAGGACACCGCTTGAGAGTTTTATTTACATTTTTATATCCTGGCTATAGATCATGATCTGCTTATCAACCCAAAAAATTTCTCAGATCTCTGGAAACAGACTGTTTAGGGAGTTCAGTCAGGTTCTAGTGGGTTAGACTGATAGTTGTTTGAGTATGAAAGCACTTTTTTTTTGTTCTGGGGACAGCCCAGGGCCTGTGTGTGATTGTGACAACTGTCAGGAGTCATTCTGTATACCCCCAGCCTTTTATTTTATTTTTTTAATTTTGAGAGAGGGTTTTGCTAAATTGTCCAGGCTGGAGTCATAGTTGGTGATCCCCCCCCCCCCCCCCGCCAGAGTGCTAGGATTACAGGTGTGTGCTTAAGCTTCTATTTTTAGAGTAGTTTCAGGTACAAAGAATGTTGCAGGGTTGGTGAGGTCCCTATATGCATCTTACCTATTCTGCCTACTGTTAACAAATTACAGTGTGTTTGTTACAGCTAAGGAACACGTGTTGGTAGATGGCTAAATTCCACCTAAATGCTTTAGCGTCTCCCCTGCCCACCCCGCCTCGGTGCCAGGGATCACACTCAGGACCTTGTGCTTGAGAGACAGGTGTGGTGCTACTGATCTACATCCCCAACCTGCTTTAGCTTTTTCTTAAATACCTTTTCCTTCTAGGATCCCACACAGCCTTTATCTGTCATTTCCCCTTATTCCCCTTAGATGGTCCGATGACCTCAGGTTTTCAGACTTGCTCTTGGTGACTGGCAGCTGTTAGGAGACATTCTGTAGACCCCCTCACAGATGAGGATGTCTTATTCTTGCTTCTGCTCAGCCTGGGGTTAGAAGAAGGCCCAGGACACATCAAGGGTGCCCGTCAGCAGCATGGCTTCGCAAGCATGGGCACACACTCATCCCCTGACCAGGCTGCCACAGTTACTTCTGCTGAGACCTACCTACAAGGAGAGGGAATCCATGTGCATTCTGTGGAATTGTGCTGTGTAGTTGGGGCTGCCTCTCCATTACTCGGGTGTTCCTCTCAGTACAAATGTTTCACACTCAGTTACAGTCCTGCACCATTCACTGTTGCGCACATGTTTTCATTTCTGGCCATTGGGAGTTCTCAGCTGACTCCTCGTTTTCACACCCTGGGAGACTCCAGACCCGGAATCAGCCATCTCTCTAAGGAGTTCTAGGTTTCCTTTTATTGAATGATGGTATCAGAAAACAAGATCTATGGTAGCACAAACCTGTAATCCCAGCTGAGGTAGGGGAGCCTGAGGTAAATAAAAAATGAAGAGCTGGGGTTGCTGCGCAGGACAGAGCAGTGGCCCACCTTGTACGAAGGCCTGGGCTTGAACCCAGTACTGGGATGACAGTCCATTGAGTGTGCGTGCTGCTTTGGCATATGGTGCTGCACTGACAGCAACAGGACCACAGATGTGACAACCCAAGTGTGCATGCAGGCATGTTTTCTGTATCAATCTAGACAGTGCTATTTAAAAACTGGTAAAATGCATATAGAACTTTTAACCCTTTAAGAAATATAGTTGAGCCTGGCATGGTGGCACATGCCTGTAATCCCAGCACTTGGGAGGCTGAGGCAGGAGGACTGCTGTCAGTTTGAGGCCAGCCGGGAGTATACAGCGAGACCCTGACTCAACAAAAAATCCCCAAAACCGAGTTGTGTAGCACTGTGCATTACATTGCTGTTCAGTTGGCCTCACCATCTAGCACCATAGTTCCCTACCCTTCCTGAGACTCCACCTATCAATTAGGAACTGCTGAGTCCTTTCTGCTCGAGCCCCTGCAGCGACAGTCCTACTTTGTCATTTTGCCTCCTCTGGGTACGAACGGGATCATGTGGCACACGTTTCCTGTGACTGGCCCATATCACTCTCTGAGTCCTCTAGGGCTAGCCATGTGGTAGCAGCATTTCCTGAGGTTGAATTGTGTTTATCTTAAGTACATACCACTTTGTTGGCCCATCACTAGTGCACTGACAATGCCTTTTGGCCCTCAGGAATACTGCTATAAACACAGGGATAGTTTTCCTCCTCAGTGATTATCAAGACCAGGACCTCACACACCAGGCTCTATACTGAGTTACATCTCCAGCCCAACAAATATTTTGGAGACCTGGTTTTTAATTCTTTTGGACATACACCCAGAAATAGACTTGCCAGTCATTTTTTAAAAAAAGAAATCACTATCTACTATCTACGGGTGTGATTTTACATTTCTACTAAGTGAACATGGGTTCCAGTTCCTGCCAAGTCTTTGCAAATACGTTTTGTCTTTTATCTTTTGCACTACTGGGGCCAGAACCCATTGAACTACCTCCTCAGCACTTTATACATTTTTTTGAGACAGGTCTTGGTTAGTTTCCTAGGCTGGCCATGATTGTGATTCTCCTGCCTCCGCCTCCCAGAGTGCTGGGAATACAGTTGTGCACTACCAGTTCAGGCTCTTTGTGGTTTTAATTTGCAATTCCCCAACGTTTACTGGTGTGGGGTTCCTTTGCACATGTATATTGAGCATCTGTATCTTTTTTGGGGGAGAAATATCTTTTCAAGTACTTTGCTCATTTTCATTAGGTTTTAAGTTTGTCTAAGAGTTTGAGTTCTCTTACATTTAGGTTTTGGATCCATTTTGTTTATGGTATGTGGGTCCAACTTCATTTTTGCACATGTGGCTATCCAATATTTTCAACTTTTTTGGAAAAAGTGTCCTTTCCCCACTGAGTGGTGTGGAAAACTATTTGCCCATCTACTTGAAGGCTCTTTTCTGGGTTACTCTATTCCACTTTACTTTTGTTTCTATGCTAGTACCATTTTGATTTGGTCACTGTAGTTTTTTTTCCCTTAAATTCTTTTATTGGTACATTTTAGGTATACAATATGTTTACATTTATCATTGGGTGTTTGTACCTGTACATGATGTATATTGGTTTTTATTTTTTTCCCCATTACCTGTGCACCTTTCACCCCCTCCACCCTTCCCTATTTACATAGACTTCGTTTCCATTTTCTCTTTTCTCATAATTTTTCCTTTCCATTCTTTCCTTTCCCCCCCCCGCCCCACCCCTTTGGACCTTTTCCTATTTCAAAGTATCAATTATTCATTATTAATCCTTTTGATCCTTATTTACATTTTGTTTTTCACACTAGAGCAACTATTTGGTATTTACACGTGTGTCCTATTTATTTCACTTAAGAGTATGGCCTCAGTATGCATCCATTTAGCTATAAATGTCTCTAGCTTCTCAGTCTTTATGGCTGAGTAGTACTGCATTTTATTAAAAAACCACATCTTTTTTATCGTTTCCAGCTGATGGGCACTTGGGCTGTTTCCAAGCTATAGCTATTACAAACTGTGGTCACTGTAGTTTTGAAACCAGGAAGTACTGAGACTGCTAGCTTTGCTGTTCCTTTTCAAGGGTACTTGGGGCTCCCTTGAGATTCTATCTGCGTGAATTTTTGGATTTAAAAAAAAATTTCTGCGGAAAAGTTGAGATTTTTTTTTGAGTCAGGGTCTCACTATGTAGCCCAGGCTGGTCTTGAACTCAACTGTGATCCTCCTGCCTCAGCCTCCCAAGTGGCTGAGGTTTCTTTAAAGGGATTGCATTCACTCTGTGGATTGCTATGGGTGGCAATGACAGTTTTAACAGTATTGCCTTTCAGTCCATGTGAATTCATGGTGTGGTTTTTGCGTGGCGAAGTTTTGTAATTTTTAGTGTACAAGTTATCCACAGCCTTAATTTATTCTTTATTGTTTCATTCTGTTGATGCTGTTATAAACAGTGGAAAGCACATTTTAAAAGAAAGATTAAGCATAATATTAAGTTGAAGTATTCATGACTTAAGTCTCCTTATATTTGGTGGGGCAAAATAACCACAGATCTTTGAAGTTTTAATTTTTTTTTTAAAAAAGGCTAAATACATGTAATTTTAAGATCTCAAGTAATTAATTACTTATTTTTCCTTATATTCCATGTTATAGAGCTACCTCCTTGCTAATTATAATAATTCCATTGTGTCCTGTTTGGGTTTTGCTCTCCTGATTATACGTAGCACCTACAACAGCTCTGGATCATGTAGGTGACCAAGAAATAAGGAGAATAAAGGCTCGCAAAGGAAAAAAAGACAGTAAAATTAGGTCAGAATTACTAATTTATTTTCCCTTAGTACTCTTAAAACTTTAGCTTCAAGTAACAGGCCAGACTTACAGAACAAGCTTTTCACAGGTTTAACCATTTTACCAAATAATATGATGCTCTAGGGTATTTATGAGGCAGGCGGTGGAACCACTGAGCTAAATCCCCGGTCGCTCTAGGGTATTTATATCCCAATTTCTAAACCAGTTATGAAGTTGTATCTTCTTAAGGTCCTAATTGGAACCAAACAACCCAGACACTGGTAACATAATCAAGACAGCATTTACCATTTCTGAAGTGCCCTGAACACACCATGTTCCCAAAGGATTTCTTACTGAGAGATGTCTGAGTGTTATCCTTTCCAAAACAACCTGTCAACCAGCTCTGACTCTTAGCTCAAAATAAAGAATTTTTCATTCAAGGAACCACTTAATACATACTGAGCTACTGTTCTCAGCCATCAACAAATTCAACTTACTGTGCTCCACACCTGACTTAACTTTGGTTTCATCAGCACTTCTTACTTGTAGAAGACAAACTTCCTTCTGAACTCCTTATAAATTCCCATCATGACCTGGGGGTCTGGGGAAGAGCGATGGCTTTTTTGTAGTCGAGGATTCTGGAAGGGGCAGAGACTCAGGTTTGAAGCCATAAGGAGAAAAATACAAGTTCTTTCCTGTTCTGCTAATGAAATACTTGTAGGCCAAGACCAGCAAATTCTGGTCCTGAAATTCTATTACACTATTCTTAATACATTCAGATTTATATTACTCTTTACTTTCTTCTCCCTGAGTGTGGATTCACAGTTTGGCAGAGGTACTTTAAGAGGTAGTTATGGGGGTGAAGAGGAAATAATGTTTACATATAGCAGCACCTCATTTTCGTCTCTACTTTGATCTTTCCCCAAGGGAGGAAACCCAGGCCTCCTACATGCTATACAAGCGCCTTACACTAAGCTATGTCTCCAGCCTGATTCCTGTCTGCTTGGACATATTGTAGTACATCAACCCCAGTGTTACCATCACTGTTCATAAAAGTAGCCCTTCCAACTAAGCCCTGCACATTGTGTTTGTTTTGATATCGAAAAGAAAGGCTCAGTCCAGAACTTTCATTGAGCTAGTCATTAGGGAAAATGCACACAACTTTCAGCACCCCAAGGATGCCTTCCTCTCTGGACCTGGTTTATGAAGTCATCCCTGTCAGCTCTGTGGACTCTGAGGATGGGTGTTAGGGATCCTGAGAGCAGGAGAAAGATGGTCCTGGCTGCCAGCCTTAGGATGGGCTGCTGGAACACTCCTGTGTGAGCAGCTTGTGACAGGGGTTTCTGAGGCACATGGGCTGGACACTGTCAGGGAGAGGCAGCACTTCTGCGGTGCAGGCTCTGCAGAAGGTCCCTCTGCAGTCCTTACACACATTCTGCAAGGAGAGGAGGGTCAATGGGTAGCAGAAGAGCAAGGCAACGGATACACAGGCCAGAAACGGCCAATGTGAATAACAGGTCAGTTACTAGAGCACTACAGTTTACCTGATTTCTTGTGGAAGTTACTGAACAACTGGTTAAATTACAAATTTTTGAAAGTGCTTCAAGCGTATAATAACATCATTTAAACCCCATTCCTGGCTTTTGGGTTCATTTTTCTTTTGTTTTCCTAATTCACAACAAAAGCTTTTTGTTCTGTATTTAACCCCTTTTATAAGCAGTTGAAGACACCATATTTGATTTCATATCTCCATGGGAAGGAAAGAGTTGTACTCATCTTACAGAAGACACTGTTTCTTAATATGGAGGTTATGAGTACAATATTGAGTTAAATATATTTCCCTCATTTATTGTGTTTGAGTTACTTTTGCTATAAAGAGAAAATTACAGTGGCACCTTGATTCATGAATTCACCTCTCTCCATGATGCTGGCTGCAAACCAAACTGGACAAGAACCAAATCAAATTTCCCCATAAGGTCAACATTGAACCTAACTGTTGAATTTGATTTGGTTCTTGTCCAAGTTGGTTTGTGACCAGAATCATGGAAAGAATCAATTTCGTGAACTGAGGTACCACTGTATAACTCTTAAACATATTATTTCATTTGAAAATTCTTTAACAGATAGTAAACTTTGTTTTAAAACTGCTATTAAAAAAAACTGCTATGGTGTCTTCAAAAACTTGATAAAATATACAGAGAATTGGTCCATTTGTCTTTGTATTTACATTGGTTGCCAAAAGAAATGGGGTTAAGATTACACTTGTTTCCATTCTATTCATGTGGATACACATCCCCATGTCAACCAAAACACTGGGGCCTTCATAGTGTGCTGTGATGTCATATTAAAGAAGTTATTAAAAAAAGAACAGAAATGGACAAATATAACCCAGAGATGGAGGTGCATGCCAGGCTGAGGTGGGGGGAGGTTCACTGCAAGTTCCAGGCCAGGGAGAACTATAAAGTGAGGCTCTGTCTCAAAGAAATGGCCAAATATGGTCAGCTGTCCAGTGCCTAATCAAGTTCTGAGTAAATGTTCTTCACTGTGTGCCAGACAGTATCTGAGCAAACAGTCCTGGCCTTGAACTTTCGATCCTCCTGCCTCAGCCTCCTGAGTAGTTGGGATTACAGGTGGGTACCACCACATCCAGCAGCACTAGTTCTCCCCTACCCTACATCTCTTGGTTCCCTTCCCATCTGCAAAAGATCTACCTTCCTGATTCCTCTTTCCTGTCTTGTATTTTGCTCTTTACTCACACTTAGGGTCACTCATTTTTACCTGGCCTACTCTATAATGAACTGGGAGAAGCCCAGGCCAACATCCGTGGATCCATGGGAAAAGCAAGGGGTTTCGTGTTGAGAGCTCCCTTCTGTGCTCTGAGCAGGATGAGGATGAAGTATGGGAAGCTGGGCAGACTTTGGAGCCAGAGTCAGACTGGAACCTGGACTTAACTCTCCATTTTGACTTGAGAAATGCTGGGAAATGTACCTAACAACACCGGGCCAAAGGTGCTTCATCTGTAAGTCCTGACGAAGAGATGATGGCAAAGACCTGGTGTTTCACAAGTGCAGAGACTTTGTCTGCTTTGTTCATTATCATCTCTCCAGCATGCAGAAGAGCACACTCTGCATAGTAGGTGCTCAGTAAATACTTTGTTCATTTCTACACTACATGTGCTTATTTGGTGCAAATTGTGTATGCAGTTACTTATGTCTAATGATAGGGATTCACTGACACGAAATACTCCAGCTACAGAAGAACAGGAGGCTGGGGCTGCCGCTCCTGGGCTCTGCCTGCCAGGTGCTGTGGATGCGCTGTGCTCTGCACGGCAAGGCCCCTGGGAAGGGACCCACGACAACCGTGCTCACCAGTTACATTTGGGCTGCCATCCTGGCACAGCTGACACATCTGGGGCTTCCCGCAGAGCAGCAGCTGACCCTAAACCACACACAGGGCGTGTTTAGATTCCCGAAGTATCACAGAGACGTTGTCAGAATACACATTTTACCCACAATTCATAGCCACTGTAACCACACTACATACTACTGCAAACTAAAGAAACAAACTTCAGGCTGTCCTATCACCTAAACACAACTCTGATGATCCCATCATTACCCTTCCAGCTCTCTTAAATTTTATAATAAAGTACCATGATTTTACTTCTGAAAAAAATTTGAAGCACACACAAGCACAAAGTGAAAAGTTTCAGAATTGCCATCCCTCTGGTCTCACCCTGCCATCAAGAATAGAAAGCAGTAAGCTCCTTGCTGCTGCTTTTTTTTTTTTTTCTTTTTTCCCCAGTACTGGGGACTGAACCCAGGGCTTTCATACTGAACTACAGCCCTCCCTAGTCCTTTCTGATTTTGAGCAAAGTCTTGCTAAATTGCCCAGGCTGGGCTCAAACCTGCATTCCTCCTGCCCAGAATGAGTGGGCTCCCTTTTATATCCACACAGGTAAGTGACAGGAGTGACTCAGTCACAGTAGCATTTAGTAGCAGTAGTATGAGGTTGCCATACTATTATATACTACTATACAGTAAATCCCTGACTTGGGAAAATCCCAGTTGTGAACTTTCACCGATATGACATTTGTAGAAGTGAATACATCTCGGAGGTATGTGTTTGTGTTTCACGTGTTTGTTGGATACTGTCACAGTTGTGATGTGTGCTCACTGTACAGTGCAAGAGTGCACAGTAGTAGTACAATGCTATCGGGGGACTACTGCATTTGTTTTATTTTATTCTGTAAATTATTTGTGTTGGGGGCTGGGGATTTAGCTCAGTGGTTTTGCCGCCCGCTGCGCAAGCACAAGGACCCAAGTTTGACCCCTGGTACACCTCCCCAGCAAAAAATTATTTGTCAAAGGTGTGTAAGACTCACTTTGTTGGACTTGCAAAAGAATCCAACTTATGAATGTTCTCCCAGAATGGAACTTGTTCATAAGTCAGGGACTTCATATTCTCAAGTGTTTTCAACTGTTTATGCTGAGTTATTTCTAAGTCACTAAAAAAGTATTTCTCCTCTCCATTCCATGTAAGGAAAAGCTAAATAAAAGAGGGGTGAAGTGAGCTCTCTTTGATCATAGTATTTTGGGGATAATTTCAAATAAGAAGTGAGAACTGTTGTTTACTTAGAAAGCTGCTCAAAGCTGACCTTTGCTCGACATGATTCCCATTTACAAATAGATTTGGAGTTATATTTTATATTTCCTTTTTTTTTTTTGAGACAGGGTCTTGCTATGTGATTCAGGCTGGCCTTGAACTCACTATGTAGCCCAGGCTGGCCTCAAAGGTGCGGCCACCCTTCTAACTCAGTCCCGAGTCCTGAGATTATAGGTGTGCGCCACCATGCCTGGCTTACATTTTCTTTTTCCAAGCCAAAAAAATAAGTTAGCATTTATGTTTTCCAGCATATGAGAACTTGAGGCAATACCTGTTCAGGACACTGTTAGAAGGATGGCACAGAGAACCATACCCATTTATCTTCTTCCCGTGCTACCTTATTTACTGGCTAGGCATGGAACATTAACTCCATTCATTTTTACAAGATGTTTTAAAACAGGAGGCTTAGTTACCTGTTCATCTGTAGGGTGAGACTGCAGCCTACAATGGAGAAGGAAGAACAGTAACACATAGTAGTTAAATATATTTCCAGTTATATTGTCCCAATAAATACTTAGAAGACATATATTTTGCCAATGAAGCAATACTGTGGTTCTTTTGTACTGCTAGGAATAACATAATTATTAATCTTTTTTTTTTTTTTTTTTTCCGGTACCAGGGATCAAACTCAGGACCTTGCAGGCGGCTGAACCACTGAGCTAAATCCCCAGCCCCGTAATTATTAATCTTGATTGCCAAGATTTTGGAAATTTTGGCTTTTAAGTCTATTACTAGAGTCTAATCCTTGACCTACATTATGGCTTCCATTTACAAATAGATTTGGACTTTTAGTCTCCTCTCCCAAATATTCTTAGAATGACAGCTCTAGCAAGTTAATCAGGGAAAGGGGAATGAATGAGAATGTCATATGAGAACTTATTTCAGGTTGAAATGTTTCTTGGGGTATGCTTCTTCTTTTTTTTTTTTTTAATTCTTTTGGGAAGATACCCAGCAGGGGAATAGCTGGGTCAAATGGGACCTCTAGTCCTAGTTCTTTGATATATCTCCATACTGACTTCCACAGTGGTTGCACCAGTCTGCACTCCCACTGAAATGTTTCATGAGACTGCTGAGGTAACCTGGCTTTCCCAACATGGAATAGAACCTATAAGCGAGAAGCAAGGCCTGCTCCTGGCTCTGGGGAAAAGGCAGTGGGTGAGAATGGCTCCTACTGTGCAAGTGGCAGGGTGAGCCCCAGACACACATGTAGATGTGCCTGGAACACAACCCCAGAAAGCCTGCAATGCTTTACAGCTGCAGTTCTGGCTGGGAAGGGTCCCAAACGTTCTCATTATGTCATGCAGAGACACAGGGGTTAGAAACAGACACAGTGAGGATAGGCAACGTTGCCTCTATGCTCCTCAGTGTTCTCATCTATGAAGTGGGAACAGCTGAACATGCTTTTGTAAAAAGATAACTGAACGTGAAACACACTTTCTAAGCTGCCAAGCACAGTACAGATTACAGTATAAGGAAGCACCATGGCCTAAATCAGAATTTCTCATTTGTCGTACTCCCGGCTGTCCCAGTAGGCTGATTTTAGTTTGAAACTAGGTGGACCCTGAAAGGCATTTGGAAGGTGGGAGTTACATCCTTCTTAGTTCTCTCCTGTGCCTATGCTGCTCTATGATGACAGAGGCAGTAGTTTGTTTAGGGAACATGTAGTTACCATGCTCTTTGAGAGCAGAAGAAAAGCCTCTATTGGCAAGGAGGCTCCTTAGCCTGGATGCCTGCACTGTAAGCCCTTGGCGGGCTGGGTACTACTGCTCTGGCAGCTGCCTATGCTCTATAGAGAGCAAAGGTGAGCTGCCTCATCTTCAGCCTGCAAGCAGGTGCCCTGCTCCATGCAGCTCTCTCCAAATTCCTGTGGTGTCTTTCCTTCTCATCAACTTCTGCCCCACCTTTTCAGATAGATACTTTTTGGTACCAAGGATCGAACTTAGGACCTTGCGCCTGCAAGGCAGGATGGTGCCACAGAGCTAAATCCCCAGCCCTGTAAAAAAATTTTTTTTATTGAGACAAGGTCTCACTATATAGCTCACGGTGATCCTCCTGCCTCAGTATCCCGAGTGCTTGGAATTACAGGTGTGTGCCACCACAACCGAGTTAGATATACTCTTGTAGCATTTGAAGTCTGCAGTGAGAGTGAATGTAGAGACTGACTGCTCACTCCTGCACCCTAGGCACCCCGGTATCAGCATTCATTACAATGATGGAGCAACACAGTTCAGGCTCACACCTGGAGTTGCAGGGTCTGTGGGTGAGGACAAATGTGCAACACGGGAGCTACCATTCACAGCTCTACAATCCTATTTGTTCCCCTCCTACAAACCCTTGTCTCCATGGTTCTGCTTTTTCCACAATGTCGTATAGTTAATCTTCAAATTTTAATGTGATGAAGAGTTAAGAAAAAGGAGCCAAGTGACCCTGTTTGAGACCCCAAAGAGAAAGAAGTAAGCAATATGGCAAATTAGTGTTTCTGAAACTGAGTGCAGAGGTGGAAACAAGTCCTACTCCATACATTTAGGGATGTAGGAAGTCTGAGTTGTACTTCATTCTCTTGGGATACTGAGCACAGATGAGAAATGATCTTTTTCCTTTTCCTTTCTTTTTGTGGTATGAGATTGAACCCAGAATTGCTCTGCCACTGAGCTACATCCCCAGCCCTTATAATTTTTTAAATTTTGAGACAGGTTCTTGCTGTATTGCCCAGGCTGGCCTTGAACTTATAATCCTCCCACTCCTACCTCGTGAGGAGCTGGGATTACAGCTGTGTGCCACTGTTCCCAAGGAAAAAATCATCTTTTAACTGATAATTTGAGTTTGGGATTCATCAAGAAAAGAATCAGAGAATAGCCTGATTACCCTTTTTTCTTCTGAAATAGCCTAGTAGGTTTGGCTTAAAAATGTTATATGGCTTATTTATTTACTTTGCTTCAAAGTGTCTTTCAAATTAATACGCTGAATCAGTGTCTGGTCTGTATCAATGCCAACATACTATCAAAATCTCCCTCTTTCCCACCACCCCAAAATGACTTTATCTTAGTTAATACTTGATTAACAAACACCTGGGACTTTCTTCCAGGGGCTTTTTTAGTTTAACATTTTCCTCTTGAATTTTGTGCCTCTCATCCTGCCAAAAGAAAATAATCCAGTTTATTAATTATTCAGGGTACTGAACAATGATGATATTGCAGACATTTTCTTCTGTAACGCCTTAGTTTGGCTATAGAGCTAAGTGTCTTTTTTCTTAATTAGGGAAGGGATCTAAATCTCAAGCATGTTTCCTCATACTCTGCTCCAAGTAGTTTCTTAACTGTTCTAATAGAATTTTCAATAATAGAGTAGATAGTTTTAATTCCTGACATTTCTAGTAAAATTCAGGATGTATCTTTTTACTTGAAATGTATCCTATTTACTTCAAGATAATTTACTTCCTAGGCAGAATATCCATTCATCCTGTTCCCCACCTGACTGAACTCTGAAAAGCAGGCATGGCTATATCCACTGACCGTGTCACCCTCTGGACAGCCACCTAGACACCCCAATGCCACGGTGTCTACAGCCTCTGCAACATGCAAAGCTGCAGCCTGTGATGCTCCCAGTGGCCAGGACCTGCCTGGGCAATTTACAGGGACACATCCTTACACATGTACACACATACATGCGCATACCCACTTTCAACTGCTGCCCATCCATCTGCTTCCAAAAGTGGAAGATATGTTTTCAGACTACTCAAATATCAAGGAAGAGAGGTCAGTGCAATGTTTATCTTCCTAGAGCCCTAACACAGGGCAATTCAGGAATGAGAGACTTAAAGCCTCTTTGGAAATACAAAGTAAGGTAGGCTAAAATTTTAAGTAAATCTCTGTAGGTCTTTCAGATTTTATGTTCACTAAACTAAAATAATAAAGTCAGTATGCTTCATAGAGTGACTGTGGCATAGTTAAGAAAATTTTATTTTTTTGAGACAGGGTCTGGCTATGTAGTCCAGGCTAGCTTTCAACTTATGGCAACCCTCCTAGCTCAGCCTCCAAAGTGCTGGGATTACAGGCGTGTGCCACTATGCCCAGCTATGGCACACTGGTTACTGGTACATTTACCACGTTTTACTCTCTAGCTAACCAGCAGCTCACTCTCTAGAAATTTTAAGCTTAAAATTATGTCATGCTTTGTGATATATAATACACATAAAGAGGGCAATTTCTTTGATTGGAAAAAATATGTCCTGCTTCTCCGAGTTCATTACTGAAGAGGCTGACTCTAGTTTCCCGGTGCAAAAGAGGTTCTGAGCCGGTCTTAGTTTCTCCTCAGGTCTGTGGACGCTGGACGTCTCTCCTTTTGACTGTTCTGTAGACATTTCTGGCTCTTCTATTTAAATTATTCTACATTCTAACTCTTCCTTGAGCCTAGCTCCCTCTTTGAGTAGGCTCAAACTGAAATTCTCATGACTTAAAGAGAAAGGTATAGAAAAGGAAATCCACATGTGAGAAAACTCTGTTAAAGGGGAATTCAGGGTTGGAGGGATTACTATACCGTATTATTAAAAAATATAAGCAGACAGGCCAGGGATTTACCTAAGTGGTGCCACCACCTGCCCTCACAAGTGCAAGGTCCTGAGTTTGATCCCTGGTACCCCAAGGGGGGGAAAATATATATATATGGAAAGATCCAAGAAACACATATTTTTCTTAAGATACCACAATAATCTCTAAAAAACTGGAAGAGCAAAGGAGTCATTAGAAATGACTAAATCAAGTTAGAGTGTGCCAGAGGAAGGCTTGCATTTGAGCTTTCCTCAGCTCATTCCGTCTCCCATTTGCTGTGCGCTCTCCAGACCACAGCAATGAAGTGTGAGCACGAGAGACGGGGGCGTGTCCACCCAGGTAGCCCCCACAAGTGAGCAAAGTTAATGAATAACATTACCGAGTTGGGGTCCAGCTCGTGCGAACTCTTTCCTGGCAGGCTCCTATTGTTCAGTAATCTTCTTTCTCTTTCCTGTTTTAGTTCTACCTCAAGCTGGTTCCTAGGATAAGTGGAAAGAAAAAGGAGGAAAAAATTGGATTTTTATATTCATAGTTTCTTTTTTTTTTGGTACCGGGGATTGAACTCGGGTCCTTGCATTTGCAAAGCAGGCACTGGAACCACTGAGCTACATCCCCAGCCCAATATTCATATTTTCTAAAGAATACTAAAGTTCAGTAATACTTGAGTAAAAAGTTGCCAGCTTTAAACAACTAAGCTTTAAAGTACTGAAGTGTAATAAAAGCAATAATGCTAAGAACCATAAAATATGCTGAATCTTTCTTGGATGACTAAGCATATACTTTAAGATCATAAGGTCCCTGAAGGTCATCTCTGAGCATCAGGGTGCGTGCGTGTACGTGTGCAGATGTGCCCGGATATAGTTGAGGGGTGACACTGGGGATTGAACCCAGGACCTCCATACTGAGCTACATTCCAGCCCCTTTTCTTATTTTTTTAGACAGGGTCTCACTAAGCTATTAAATTTCCCAGGCTGGGCTGGAACTTGCAATCCACTTGCCTTAGTCTCCCAGAATGCTGGGATTATGGGCATGTGCCACCATGCCTAATTTAAATATCAGTATTTTACATTAGCTCTTAATGAAGAATTGTGGACCTGAATGACAATTAGTATTTGCTATAATTGAGTTATTTATAAATGATTCAACAGACATTATATGCTGTTTCATAGTAAGCAGCTGGTCTCACTTTTTTTTTTGGTACCGGGGATCGAACTCAGGACCTTGTGCTTGGGAGGCAGGCGCCAGCACCACTGAGCTAAATCCCTGGCCCTGGTCTCTTATACTTCTGTACTTAGTACCAGCTGCACCTTTGGCCACCAGTGCCCAACTTCCATGTGAAATCAGTGGCTTCAGCACAGAAGTGAGTTCATTTGAGAGAAAACATGGGAGACCAGTTAAGGGTTGGAGTCAGAGAAACAGGATTTTAAATGACAGTGTTGCCATTTATTAGTTTAACTGTGTGCGTCTGGACATGTTTAACCCCTCCATGCCGTAATTCTACAGGAAAGTAGGGACAGTAATATCACCTACTGAGCTGATGGGAAGGCACTGAGAGTGACTATGTAAGTGGCACATAGCACAATTTCAGGAAACTATCATTATGCTGGCTATTACCTCTTGTTTATTTAGAACCCTGAGCTATAATTTCCTAATTTTTATTTTTTGCTTGTTTTTCTGAGACAAGGTCTTACCGTGTAATTTATTTATTTATTTATTTATTCTTACCATGTAATTTAGACCAGCCTTAAACTCACCACATTTCCTCTAAAATAAGCTCTACCTCTAAAATAAGCCCCAGTTAAGCTTGTCAGCCAGATGGACACATTTAGTACATCCAGTGCAACACATGACATACTGAATTATAAAATAATAATATTAATATACAAAGACATTAGTACTTAGAATAAATAACATAAATTATAATTAAGTATATGTAAATACCCAAGTGGGCATCTCTGGACGAGAGGCAAACACCTATGTAAACAAACTTGAGACCTATTGCCAAATGACCAATTGGGAGTACAGACACAACACATGAATACTATATGCATTTGATAAGGAACAGATGTGGTTATGCCTAATATGAATCTTCATAATTCAGTATGTCGGGTGTTGTAATGATGTACTGCAGTAGGCTCACATGGACAAGATGTGCTCATCTATGCAGAGCTCTATTGCTGGACATGAGGTTGGGACCATGGTTCTACAGGAAATGGAGTCATAAGAAATTCAGGCTGGAATCTGGGGTTTGGAGAGTTATGATAGTCCAGAAGAAGATGACATGACTATATTTGAGTAAATGTAGATTTCTATACATGAATAAATGTAAGAAAAATAATAACATGAGAAAAATAAGACATTCCCTGAAAATAAGCCCTATTGTGTCTTTTGGAGTAAAGATTAATCTAAGACCCAGTCTTATTTTGGGGGGAAATACAGGTGTGTAGCTCAGGCTGGCCTTGAACTCATGGTGATCCTCCTGCCTTAGCTTCCACAGTGCTGGGATTACAGGTATGCACCACCATGTCCGGCTATTTTCCTATGATGTTGACAGGATTTGGGGAAGGCTGGTGTACATAAAGCTGTCCTGACTACAACCCGAGGGAAAAGACAAGGGAAGACAGTGCCAAGACAGCTGAAGGTCCTGAGACTGCTTCCTGGCTGTCTGGCCTGACAAGCACCCAAACCCCTGTCAGCTCAGCTGCCCTCTCTTCACCGCTGCCGGGTCAGCTCCTCCACTTCCAGCTGCAGACTGTTGATCTTGTCCCCGAAGTCCTGTTTGAAGAGCCGGTTGTCCAACTCCGCAGACTGGCGGCCTTGCTCAGCCTGGCGCAATCTGGATGTGAGCCATATGAACTCATGATAAAACAAAAGCCATGGTGCAGGGAGAGCAAGTTCACAGCACAAAATAAAATAACCCAAGGAAGAGGGCACAGAGAGACAGAGGGGAGACACTTCGCAGGACACAAAGAAAGAAGTCAGGAGGGAAAAAGATAGAAAAGAAATTCTAAACAAAGCAAGATGAAGGTGAACCAGGCAGAAAAGCAGATTTTCCACTTTTTTTTATTCTAGTACTACAGTTTACAGCCATTAGATGATAAACAATAAAACATCACTTGTTAGAAAATCCATATCCAAAGCCAAACTTAAGTACATAGTAATTTGAATTTAACCCACTTGTTTGTTTTCATTTCCTAACGGGGCTTGGACTTCACATTTCTGCTTTACACACACAGCTGGAATGTACACATGGGTAACTACCTTCTTAGACGTGGAATCTTAACATTTTTTTCTAGCCCCTTCTCCAAACATATTTTAAATCACTGGAATTATACATCAGCCCTTACCCAGGCTTCAGGTTACTGTACATGAAAAGCCTTTGTCAGAATTTAGCTGTTTCTTTCCTTTCCATTCCTGCCAAATGGTGTGTGACCAACTGAACAAAGAACTCAGCACTAAGACTCTGTAAGGTTCCTGATCATGTGCTCTGGAAGATTCTGAGGGATGCTTCTTTTAAACATTTTATAACTCTGCACCTAAAAAGAATCATGTTTGGGGCTTTTATACAATAGAATCAGATGCATGCTATGCATAGTCTTTATTTGGTATTTGATCACTCTTTCTAAATGCTCATAGAAAAGGCAACTCACTGCAAAAGTTTGATAAAGAATGCAGTAAGAGTTTTATTTATATAGGTGCAAAATTAGTAGAACTAAAACATGTTCAAGAGCATAGGATCTTCCATGACGTCTGTTTAACATATATTATTTGACTTGATTTTGGTTCAAGTCTGTGCAAGGACCTAAAAAAAGACATACACGAAATCTATTTTACTCTCCTAATTCTGGTTTTGTCAAGAAGAAAGAAGTGGGAGCTGGAAGCAAATGAATTACTGTCTCTACTTCTACAGCTAAAATGTTGCAAATCAAATTGGAAAGAAAAAACAAAACAAAACAAAAATCTCAAACATTTTGTCAAGTCCTTTTGAAGGAATAAAGGCTTATGTATTTCTGCAAATCAAAAAATTCATTAAAAAAATCAAAGTGTTTATAGGATTATTTACAAAAAGGGTTAGATCTGTGGTCACATAGAAAAAGAAGCCCTGCTAGTATTGCTTGTGTATATCTACTGGGGATCTTTATTTTTTATAGTAAATAATAAAGAATGTAAGTTTATTCTTTATCTGTTTCCTTTTTCTTTTTGGTACTGGGGATTGAACTTGGGACCTTGTGCTTGCGAGGCAGGAGGCATCTTTATCTGTTTCCTACTCTGAAATGTTTGCTAATAACTAAATTATTAGTTTCTGAGAACATGAAGCAAATCCTCATTTAAACAAAAAAGTAACAGAAGCAGAAAATGTCTCTAAGTAAGAAATGACAGACAGGAATCATTATTCATGTCTATATGTTATCCTCCTTGCCAGTAAGAAAAGCAGAATAGATTTGAAAAGTGTGTAGTGCATTTTTAATAGGAGTGTTTTTATTAAAATTGTTTGCTCTGAGCTACTTAATTGGAAGTGGAATTGTAGAAAAAGGGAAGAGGTGGAAGGTGACAAATATCAGGAGGGTTTCCTCAAGCTTCTGCATGATGTTATCTAAGCTACCTAATCACTAACTTTATCTCTATGTACTATAAAGAAGCATAAGGATGCTGTTTTTCTTTTTTTCAGTTACTAGGCAAAAATGTTGCAAGCAACTTGGGTTATTAAGAATAGAACTGTAATGGAATACTGTACTAAGTACTTATCCTTGGCTTGGAGACTCAACCTACATAATGAAAGTGAAAAGGGGTGGTGGTGGCCTAAGACACAGAACTACTTCAGAAAGTCCAGCTCACGCGGTGTCCCCTCACGTCCACTCCACTGCAGTGCAGAACAGGCTTGCTGACATGGGCGTGGGTGTGGACCGTGCCCTAGTTGGTAGTGTCAAGGGCTGGGTTGTAAAGGCAGTGTCAATATATGTACAGAGCTTCAATTTCCTAGGCTTTTACATGATGTTTTACTTATTGATCAACTCAGAAATAATGTCTTAAGTTTACTTGGCATTTAATTTGGAATTTATACCAAATTTTCTAACTCTGGGAAGAAAATAATATAAAAAAACCCAATCTATATATCCAACTGTTTTTAAAAATCCAACAAATTCAAAGCCAACTTTTGGTGACATTTTATACAGAATCAGAGCTTAAATGTAACAACTTTCGGATTTCTTCCTTTTACAGTTAACTTGGGATAACAGACTTGTGAGGTAACCAATTATATAAATGCCTAATGATGTTTTGGGATCAATTTATTTGCTGCACTATTTAAGGTCTTTGCCTGTTTCACCAAATCTTTTTCACTAAACAAAATAAAATGAAAATGAAGTGAAAGGGGAATGAGAAAAGGGATAAAAAGGGAACACAAAGATCACAAGAGAACAAGTCAGCTTAATACTCAGAGAGATGATTCATTATTTTAGTTTCATTTTAAATGCCAAGTCAAAAAATCACTGAAAAATAATCTGATACACTTCAAAAGCACAACTGATGAACATTAAAATCAATCTGTTAAGTCACAAACTTGAAGCCAGTTCTTAGATAATTTTCTTTCCTAGGGTATCATTTTTTGGGGGGTAGTACTGGGGATTGAACCCAGGGCTTTCACACTGAGCTGCATACCCAGTCCTTTTAAATTTTTTTTATTTTGAGAAAGACACTCATTAAGTCATCCAGGTTGGGTTCAAACTTGTGATCCTCCTGCCTCAGCCTCACAGAGTGCTGGGATTACAGGTGTGTGCCACCCCATCTGACACCCAGAATACCTTTTTATTTATCATCCACACCAAAGATTTCAAGATTATTTATAAATCTACGATTAACTTTTTTTTTCTTGGTACCGGGGATCAAACTCAGGACCTTATGCTTGCGAGGCAGGCTCGGCGCCACTGAGCTAAATCCCCGGCCCTACAATTAACTCTGGAGCTAATATTAATATGCACTGCTGCTCCAGGACCCTTCCTGGTTAAGAATCATCTGAAGAAAAAAAGTCACTGATTCATTCATTCATTAATATGCTCAACTTATGCCTCATACATTCAAGGCACTAAGACAGATCCAATGACGGATCTTAAAAGATCAGCTCACTATCCTCATAGAGCTGAAAGATACAATACATAAAGGATTGAAAGGTAAGACAGACAGTGAGAAGAGCTGTAAGTGGTACAGACAGAGATGGACATAAGGCTATGAAAATCCCAAGGACGTTACTTCTATCTGGGAAGAAGTATCAGGCGGAGGCTTTAAATGGCATTTGGGCCTGAATGAGAACATTCCCAGTGGAAAGGGGAAAGGCATTTCTGCGGGGTGAACTATCAGAAAAGAAATGGATGGGAAAGATGGAATGCATCTTTGGACCAGAAGTTCAGCTGTTCTCAAGTGTAAGAAGTGCTAAGTAGGTGTTAAAAGTGCAAACATCAGGTTATGTGGTCTTCCTCACGATAGCCTGATAGTCCACTCTGTGTCCTCTGGGGTGTGCTTTTATCTTGCTTTTTCTCTTTTCTTCAGCCCAGGCTCTCTGGAGAGCTAGTTTCTTCCTCACTCTTCACTTTTACTTTTTCAAATAAACTTTGTCACTGTTCTTTGCCCATTTTATTCAAAACAAAAAAAAAATAATAAAAATGCAAACATCAAATGATCACAGGTGCTGCAATCAGTCTTCAAGTCTCGGCTACTTCTCTTGGCTGCGGAGTCACCAGGAAGAAATTAGTGGTTTCAGACATACACAGGGAGAAGTGTGCTCTGGGGAGGTGAGCTGTGAGCATGGGGTGGGGCAGCTGGTGGAGGCACAGAGCAGAGTGGGACACACACAGGAGAGGTCAGGAGAAAAAGACTATAACAGAGAAGACAGGAAAGGGTTCAAGGTGAAAAAAGGAGGGAGAGATCAGGAACAGGTCCTGCTGGGAGGACATCTATCTTAGAATCTAGCAGCAAAGTAGTCAAAGGCGATGAAAACTAAAATCACACAATTACAAACACATACTTAAAAGTCATTTCATACTTGCACATATACTTCTCATCATGACAATGAAATGGGTTAAGTTCTCATTTCTTTTTTTCTGTTTTTGAGACAGGATCTTGCTGTGTAGTCCAGGCTGGCCTTGAATTCATTATATAGCCCAGCTGGCCTCAAACTCAACAGTGATCCTTTTGCCTCAGCCTCCCAAACACTAGGATTACAAGGCATGTTAAGTTCCCATTTCTAATGTTCAAAGAAGTCAGAAAAGGATGACATTTCTTAGCAATGTTTTCAGTGACATTTCAGAAAACAAAGATAAAATTTAACTGGCTTTCTTCTTTTTTTTGGTACTGGGGATCGAACTCGGGCCCTTTCGCTTGCACAGCAGGTGGTGAAACTACTGAGCTAAATCCCCGGCCCCATTAACTGGCTTTCTACTAACATGTCTGATTTAAGTTGGAAGAATTTAGTGTATTTTCTGTTCAATGAATGCATAGCAAGCCTCCTCACGTCTCTCACTGACAGCTCAGTGTTTCTATAAAGAAACAGTACCTTTACCTTTGTTCCAGTTGTTTAATGGTAGCAGCCATCTGATTAGTCTTCTCTTCCAAACGACTGTTTAGTTCACTTTTCTGTTTTACTCCTAAGTCTGAACTCTGTATGTAAAATAATTACAGAAGATATATGTAACATAAAACCGTGAAATATAATCACACGCTGTTGGAACCTAATGGTAAGTGGGAAACAGAGAAATACAAATGCTTGTATATTTGTGTATCAGTCAATTTCCAAATGGAAAAAAAAGCAATCTGGTTAATATTAGTACTGTTATATGTGCAGTCTAGAGAAATGGAACGTATAACTCAGCTGGCATGTTAAGGCTAGAGCAGAAATTATCTTTTAGGATAAGAAGGGTCTCAAGCCCTCTGCAATGCAGAAAGTGGCCCTGGTTTTCCAGAACAGTGACTGGGGGTCCTAGGATGTCCTGACTCATAGAGCATCTGGTGCGGTGGGCCTCAAGTGCATTTCCTGCAGCACAAGAAGTGGGGGCCCAGGGTTCTGGGAGCCAGTAGGACCTTCCCTCACCTACCTGTAGCTTAAAGGCCAGTTCGTGCTTGAGGGCCCTGAGGTCGTCCAGCTGCTGCCTCAGAGATACCAGCGCCTCCTGCTTCTCACAGACGTCCTTCTCCAGCATCTTCATGGCCAGCTCCATCTCCTGCCGCATGCTGATCTGGAGTTCCAGCTCCCTCTCCACATCCTGCCTCAGATGAAGGACAGTGCTTACACTCTACTCAGCTTGGACAAGCCATAAAGTCTCCTAGGGAAAGGCAGTTCTGCGGACTCCAAGAGAGCAAAGAGCTATCATACATGTCAGAGACATTAGCATAAGAACAGTTAGGGTAACACATATCACTGCTTTATCACTGCTCGGCCTTTCAGCTAAGATCACATGTAATAATTAGGGTAACACAGTAACTTTTCTCAATCATGTACAAATCTGAAAACTTGCTAGTCAAAGACAGTGCTAGTTAAGCACATCCTTGAGGTACTTCAATAAACATTATGTAAATTGTAAATAAACTGCTATGTCTATTACAGAAATGTAGAGTGTTACAGTAATCAGCACAAAATGAGGCAGTTGTAATTCTCTGAAATTTGAATGTTGATGTATTCAAATTTGAGGAACCCAGAAGAGAACTCAGAGTCTCCAAGGTAATATCTCAACTACTGGAGTGGTCAATATAGATAACTGCATCTTTAGATTTACTTCACCTGAAAATCCTCTTTGTTTCAACATTACTGCAATGACATCATCACTGTCATCATCATCATTGGTGCTGGGGACTGAACCCAGGGCTTCTGCACTGAGCTACATCCCTACCCTCTTTTTTTACTTTGAGATGGTCTTGCTAAGTCACCCAGGCTGGGCTTGAACTTGTGTTCCTACTGCCTCAGCCTCCTAGAGTACTGGGATTACAGATGTGGTATCACACCCAATTAGAGCAACATTATTCAGATGAGCAAAGATACAAAGACTTGAGTTTCTTCTGCACTCATGCTATACCCAGGCATATCCTGGGCCTTACCTACTTTCTTTAGAGTTTTTATCATGGATGAGTATTGGGGATTTTGTCAAATGCTTTTTCTGCATCTATTGAGATGATCATATGGTTTTTGTCCTTGACTCTGTTAATATAGTGTATTACATCTACTGATTTATGAATGTTAAACCATCCTTGCATCCCTGGGATAAATCCAACTTGGTCAGGGTGTATGATCTTCTTGACGACCCTCTGTATTCTGTCTGCCAATATCTTGTTGAGGATTTTTGCATCTATGGTCATTAGGGAGATTGGCCTGCAGTTCTCTTTTTGGGTTGGGTCTTTCCCTGGTTTTGGAATCAAAGTAACACTTGCTTTCAGGAATGAATTTGGAAGCCTTGCTTCCCTTTCAATTTCCTTGATGAGTTTAAAGAGTAATGGCGATAGTTTTTCTTTAAATGTCTTGTAGAATTCAGCAGTG